GATTGCAGGAGAGAGATCACTTGATGGTTACCTGTTCACTCCCTCTGGGGCATCTGGCATTGGCCACTGGGGGAAGACAGGATACTGGGCTTTGATCCGACCCAGTATGGCCATTCTTATATTCTTATTTCCTACCTTATCCTAGGGGCTGGACTTGATGACCGTGTGAGGTCTCTTCCAAGCCTACGTTTCAATGCTTTTATTGCACATGACAGGCAACACAGTGTAAATTGGTGCGCTGCCAGGCAATGCAACTGGAAAACATGCAACAATACCAATACAACATCGACACAATAGGATGCAGTCAAGGATGGCCCCATACAACAATGCACCACTGTGCAGACCCAGGTAATGTGATGCAAATTCAGGCAAGCCAACGCAAATCGAATGATGCAGGCTGATGCAATGCAAAAAAAATTAATGCGACTGCATGTAAATTGTATAACAAACGTATAGTTTGTACAACACCCCCTCCCCAGCACCTCACTTTGTAAAATGTGACAATTCTAGTGACATGGGATGTGGGACATGAGGAAACAGCTTAGAATTTAGCCATGAGATCTGGGTTTGGAGATGGCCTAAGACTGGATCATGAAGGCTGTGTCTAGACTGGCCAGTTTTTCCGGAAAATCAGCCGCTTTTCCGGAAAAACTTGCCAACTGTCTACACTAGACGCCTGAATTTCTGCAAAAGCTCTGACTTCCTACTATAAGAAATCAGTGCTTTTTGCAGAAATACTATGCTGCTCCCGTTCAGGCAAAAGTTTTGCGCAAAAGGGCCAGTGTAGACAGCTGAGATTTGTTTTCCGCAAAAAAAGCCCCGATCGCGAAAATGGCGATCCGGGCTTTTTTGCGGAAAAGCGCATCTAAATTGGCCACGGACGCTTTTCCGCAAAAAATGCTTTTGTGGAAAAGCATCTGTGCCAGTCTAGATGCTCTGTTCCGAAAATGCTTTTAACGGAAAACTTTTCTGTTAAAAGCATTTCCGGAAAATCATGCCAGTCTAGATGTAGCCGGAAGAGTGGGTATGTAATGGAAGAAGTATGGGTTAGCTTCTTTACAGGCTGGATTGTGGTTTTGTTGGGGACATAGCCATGAGCCTCGTGGGGTAGAAATGGAATGCCTTGGATTGGATTCTTCCAGCACTGGGTTGGGAAATTTATTTATTGAAGGAGAACATTAGTTGGGAGTGTTGTGGGGTTGGGGCGCATTAGAGGAAAACCAGCATTGAGTTGGGTTCCTCTGGGCTAAATACCCATATACCCCTTCTTGTGGGGCTGCGGTGAGAACTTGAGAGGTCCACACCATTGGGTTAAGATCTGGTTGGGTTGAGTGGGGACATCCTGGCGGGGGGCGGGGATAGTAATAGGTTTGGTTCTTGGGGGCTGTGGTGGGAAGTCTTGTGAGGTTGGATAGGGTGGAGTGTCTTCTTCGGGAGGCAAACCAGTGCAACTGGCTTCATCTCAGTGGTAGGACAGGAGGTATATGTGTACTACCCCAGGAGGCATCAGGGACCACAGCATCTTAGAACAGAGCAGATTTTGTTTTCAGTCACAGACGATGGGAGGGGGAATGTGTCCCCAACTGCGACCATTAGATGAAATAATGGAGAACAGGATTTAGCAGCAAAAAGGAGAGCTCAGTTATTTGGGAAGGTGGAGAGGGGGCTGATGTGATGAAGACGAGTGAAGGAACAGAGGACTTTCTACCCACAGAATCTTTTCTGGAGGCTACTGTACCCTCATTCTCCCCTTGAGCTTGGAGTGTGGAGCGTTCTTGGCCTTCCAAAAATGAACAAGGTGCACTGATGGTCTTTCTTGGAACCTTCTTTCCTCATGTTTTTCCGGAAGCAATGGGAGATCGCCATGGCCAGACGACCAACCCCAAAGGCCAGGCCAGCTGCCATGGTGGGTTAGGGAAATGGAAATGAGCGAGATAACTGCACAGAGAGGGATGGATTGGACCCATCCTTTCTTCATCACTGTGTGGAGAGAGTGGCAGCTACTTCACCTGCAAAATCAGAGAAAGAGGGAGAAGTAAAGATAGATAGATAGATAGATAGATAGATAGATAGATAGATAGATAGATAGATAGATAGATAGATAGATAGATAGATAGATAGATAGATAGATAGATAGATAGATAGATAGATAGATAGATAGATAGATAGATAGATAGATAGATAGATAGATAGATAGATAGATAGATAGATAGATAGATAGATAGATAGATAGATAGATAGATAGATAGATAGATAGATAGATAGATAGGTGAGTGGGGATACATAGACAGACATACAGAGAGGTTCATGGGGATAGACAGTCATTGCAAAAGTGTGGATGGACTAATATCTCTTTCTCAGACAGCCCAGGTTTGCCTTTTCTCTCCTGGTTCATGCCCAAGCCCCCTTTGCACCTTGATGAAGGTGACACGCCTTGGGCATCGTCCATCTCGCTGTAGTCGTCCACGCTGTCGTCTCGGACACTGCAGGGTGAGATGCCCAGGACAGAGCTGTGCCAGGACTCTGCCAAAGGACAGGAGATGCCAGGGTCATTGGAGGGGCTATGGATGATGGGGAGGGACTCCTTTGGGACCACTTCTCCAAGGCTCAGGGCAGTTATACCAATGCTTCCATCAGGGCTCTGTCGCTAAGAGTCCCAAGAGAGGAGAGTCCCACCCCTTCCCCATGAAGAAGAGAAGCCCCCAAGGCAAGTTGATTCCACAGCCTTCGAGATTTCCACCCCTAGTTCTAGCAGATGTTCCATGACCTGTGTTCATTGTTCCACCTTCCCCCTACTTTACTTCATAAGGCTCCCATCAAGGCAGTATGGAAGACTTCAAGGGTAAAGGCTGTGAAAGGAGGTTAGATGGACCAATTGCCTACTCTGATATAACAACTTCTACCAAGCTAAAGTCTAGATGTATCGATTGATTGATTGATCCATCCTCCATTCCCATCGATTGCCCATGACAAGGATCCGCCCCCAAGGTGGGTAAATACCAGCCTTTGGGCTGGATCTGGTCTGCCATGGTTAGCCCCGGGCGGGCCCCCTTACTGTTGCATTTACATGTGCCTCCACAGGGATTGGGGGATCACAGCTCCCATTGGCCAAGGATTCCGGCCAATGGGAGCTGCAATTGCCCCTACCTGTGGAGGTGCAGGTAAATAGAGTGACAGCAACCCACCAGGGGCTACCCATAGTGAACACCTCCATTTTGTTGCCTGCCGCAACCTAACCTGGCCTCTTGCATCACTCATATCTATCAGTTCCTCTTCACTACTCCTTCACGTGAGTAACACCAGTTTTGCAGCCTAGAAATTCAGCACACATGAAGTGCCAGGGCTGGCTTTCCAGACGTGCCAGGGGCTCTGTAGTTTCTAGTGGCTTTGCATGAAGCTGCAAATGTCTGGAAAGCCAGTCCATAAATAATTTGCCCGTGGACCCAAAGAGAGGAAAAGAACCCAGGAGTCCGGGCCTGAAGACTTTACCTCAAGCAAATGCCTCCTGGCTCGGTTAGCCACGGAGTGTGGAATTTTCAAATATTCAAAGGTGTCTGGATATCAATGGTAATTGAGTATCCATAGTTATATGATTCAGAGGAGTAGCTGAAGCCAGTCCATAAATAATTTGCCCGTGGGCCCAAAGAGAGGAAAAGAACCCATCTGAAGAAATGGGTTTTGCCCACGAAAGGTACATCTACCCATCTACATGTTTTGTGAGTCTTTAAGGTGCTACTAGACTATTCATAACTATATGGTAATTCAATAATCATAATCAATGGTAATTAAGTATCCATGCAGCCCAGGAATCTTTGAAAATTTGCTAAGTAATAACGACCCGGGTCTAAAATAATACTAGGAGCTTAAAGAAATAAATTCATTTCATTGAGAGTTCTGTAGCTGGGCACCTAGAACTCAGTCCTCAAAGGTCTTTGAAACCAATGGGAGTTAGACCCTGACATACTATTAAAAACCTGGCATGTTGACACTACGGGGAAGATCAACACTGTTGCGATCATAGTGAAGACACACTAAATCAAACTTTGAGGCTCTCGTTGGTGCCGGTACTCCTGCTTCTCGTGAGGAGTAAGCGAAGCCAACGGGAGGGTTTGCTCCCTTCTATCTCCTGCTGCATGGACGGTGATTTAAGATATGTCGACTCCAACTTAACGTAGCTAAAGTTGCATATCTTAGATTGACTTTCCACTACAGTATAGACCAGATCTACTAGGCAGAGAGTATTTCCATTATTCCAACTTAACGTAGCTAAAGTTGCATACCTTAGATTGACCTTCCACTCCAGTGTAGACCAGGTCTACTAGGCAGAGAGTATTTCCATTGCAGGCAGTGTTAAACTCTTCCAAGGCAAACTCTGTACTGGTTGCCCCGACTTGTGACGCGATCTGTTCCGGAGATAGTGTCGCAAGTCGGAGACGTCGTAACTCGAGTCCACATTTATGACAGGCATCGTACGCAATCATAAATGTGGGGCCGAGGATGTAAGTCAGGGGATTTCAGCCCCTTCTGCACTTACGGAAAAGTTCGTAAGTGTGGGGGGTCGTAAATCGGACCGTTGCAAAGCAGGGGCCTCCTGTATCTCCCCATGAGGATGTAAGTCAGGGGATTTCAGCCCCTTCCGCGCTTACGGAAAAGTTCGTAAGTGTAGGGGGTCGTAAATCGGGCCTTTGCAAAGCAGGCGCCTCCTGTATCTCCCCATATTAGAACAGAGTAAATACAGTTTAACTGGGTTTACCCCTGGCTCAACCACTGATTACAGGTGTATATAGTGTAACTATAGTGTAGTTTATATCACGGCCTCCGTTTGTGTTATGGCACTCCGGATATTTCAATAATGAAATAAAAAAATGAAATAGCAACAATAGCCATAATCATAGTAATAAATATCCCCTCTCCAGCCTTTAGCATCATATCCTGCTGTCTGCAGGAGAAGAGGTAGGAAACCACGAATAAGAGCAAAATTTCCCGCGGGTGCAGTTGGCTTATCGCTTTAATAGGCGTGTGAAATGTACACAAAGAAGGCAGGCGAATGACGTCTTCATTTGGATCGAGTCAGAGGAAGCACAAGTAGGGAAGGAGCAGAGGCCAAACTGGAAGGATTGGGGGATAGGCCATAGAGGAATCTTTAGGGTGAGGTGCAGAGCGGGTTTGGGAAGCATTAAAGCAGCAGTTGAGCTGTTACCAGTATGGACATTGGTACTTCTGGCTACAATCCCTTCGGAGGACAGGTGGGCGACTAGGCAGCTGTAGGAAGTCCCCAGAATCCACTTGCTCCTGGGCACCTCAAGCTGGCTGATCACCGAGCACCGTTGGTGGTTGTGGTCGCAGTCATGGCGCTCGTCGTTGGCCGGGCTGTCGATCTCGGTCTGGGCTGTCTTCTCTTGCCACCAGATGGAGATGGCCCCAGGGTAGAAGTCTTTGACGACGCAGTGAAGAGTGAGGTTTTGGTTGCTACAGATTTCCTCGGAGGAAGGGGGCAGGAGGTAGATAGTGGGTGTCTTCAGGGAACCTGCAGGTTTGGAGGAGCACGGTGGGGAAGAAGAGACCAGATAATGGGAGAACTGAAAGCCAAGTATCATGGGTCAATCAAGGCCCATAAAGTAATTCAAGGGGCTTTCATTCCAAGGCACCAAGAATATACTTATATGATAAGATGGTCAATTCAAAATTAATCTCTCTCTCTTTCTTTCTCCATATCCTCTATCTATCTATCTATCTATCTATCTATCTATCTATCTATCTATCTATCTATCTATCTATCTAAACTTTTAATACTGGTGTTCGTCAGTACAGTATCTGAAATCTGGATAAATTGCAATGCTTATCCTAACGGTCCAGCCCCTTCTATTTCCCTAAACCTAACCCTAACTTTAACCCTAACTCTATACCTAACCTTAACCCGAACCCTAACCCAACCCTTAACCCTAACCCTAACCCTAACCTTAATTTTAACCCTAATCCGAACCCAAACCTGAACCCAAACCTTAACCCTAACCCTAACCCTAACCTTAAACCTAACCTTAATTTTAATGCTAATACTAACCCGGACCCAAATCCAAACTTTAACCCTTAACCCTAACCCTAATCCTAAACCTAACTTTAACTTTAACCCTAACCAGAACCCGAACCTTAAACCTAACCCTATCCTTAACCCTAATCTGAACTCAAACCTTAACCTTAACCCTAACCTTAACCCGAGCCCAAACCCAAATATTAACCCTAATGCTAACCTTAACTTTAACCCTAATCCTAACCTAAACCAAAACCCAAACCTGAACCCTAATCCTAACCTTAACTTTAACCCTAATCCTAACCCGAACCAAAACCCAAACCTTAAGCCTAACCCTAACCTTAACTTTAACCCTAACCCAAACCTGAACCCTAATCCTAACCCTATCCCTATCCCTATCTGTAATCTTAACCCTAACTCTAACCCTAAACCTAAACCAAACCTTAACCCTAACCCTAGCCCTAACTCTAACCCTAAAACTAACCTTAAGCCTGTAGGTCCATTCCCCAACCAGTTCAGGATCTCCCTACCATCCACCCTCATAACTCTAACCCTAAAACTAACCTTAAGCCTGTGGGTCCATTCCCCAACCAGTTCAGGATTCTCCCTTACCATCCACCCTCACGTACACATTATCCTTAATGCTTACCTTACAATTCACTCCCAGCTTCTCCCTTCTGCCTGAGTCTAATATCCGCCCCTAGCGAGTGCTTTACTTTGAGCCCGAACCCTAAAGTCCATATGCAGCTAATAACCTCACCCAACCCACAGCTCTACAGTCGATCACCCACCCAGTCTCCTGTGGGTTCATTCCTAGCTAACCGAACATTCCCGTGAGTTATTCTCCAGCATGACTTTGGATCGCTCCAGTGACCCCAGAGTCCCTCTGAGATGCTATCCTCTGACCCTAATGGACCGCCCTGGTCAGGATTGGAGGGCCTTGGAGTTCCACTCACTCAGGTTGACATGGAGCCAACTCTGCAGCCAGGTGCTACCGTTGACTTGCTCTGTCGTCACGGCCCCCAGGTCCGCGGGCTCCCCGTCCATCGTCCATTCGATGCTGGCATTGACCAGGGGGGTCTTGCATGTCACAGCGGCTGTCTCATTGGTGAACAGCTCTTTCAAAGATGGGGGCTGCAGGGAGGCGGAAGGCAATGCCAGTTCATGGCAACCTGTGGAAGAACCATTGAAGAAGTGGTCACAGACAGTACTGCCTGCCCAATCAGTGGGGGGGGGGGCATGTTTCAAATGATGGGGGGCTTAAAGTTTAGAGTCTGGGATATGTATTTCTCAGCTGCTCAACTTCTACTGGGTTTTGGAGTCATAAGTTCATTGATCTAGCTTCAGCTTCCAGCCTTTTGGAGCTTGTCATACCCCTTTTCTGATAAATCCAGAGCTCTGTGATCAGTTTTCGGCCATACGTAAGTATTTGCGATCAAGCCGACTGTTAATCTTTGTCAAGCAACGTATCATAGAATCATCGAATCTCAGGGTTGGAAGAGACCTCAAGCGGCATCGCGTCCAGTCCCCTACCCAAAGCAGGGCCAACTCCAACTCAATCATCCCTGCCAGGACTTGGTCAAATTGAGACTTAAACACCTCTAGGGATGGAGATTCCACCCCCTCCCTAGGGAACCCATCCCAGTGCTTCCCACCCGCCTCGGGAAATATTTTTTCCTAATATCCAACCTAGACCTGCTCCACAAGAAAAAAAGTAGGAAAAAACCCATCACTGTCAGGCTGTGGTTCTTGGACCTTTGGGCCTTCAGGACATCCCACTCAGTGAGGACCTTTATTCTGTCAACCACTCATGATGACAAAATAGGTGCAGGAAGGGGTGGGGGTCTGGCCAGGAGTCTGGGGTGCAGGAGCAGACTGAGGTAGCAAGCTGGGAGGTTGGGTGCAGGAGTGGGCTGATGTGGGGGGTCTGGGTGGGAGGAGGGGTGCAGATGAAGACAGGGTGATTGGAGGGGTGGGGTCTGGGAGGGAGGGATGGTGCAGGAGCAGGCTGCGGGTGGGGGTTCAGGGAGGGAGGGTGCATGAGGGGGCTGCGGGTGCAGAGTCTGGGCATTAAGGGGCTGGGAGGGGCTTACTTGGCTCCATGCCTTCCACCACTCCCAAGGCACCACCTCCCCGCTGCTCCCATTGGCCATGACTCCAGCCAATGGGAGCAGTGGGAAAAGTCTTCAGGCAAGCAGTTTCCTGCACAGCTATTTCCGCACCCTGGGGGAAGGTGAGCAGCAGTTCATGGAGCCACTAACTTCCCCCACAAGCTGAATCTGGCCTGGAAAGCTCCCCGTGCTCCTACACCGGAAACTGGCTCTGGAGCTCCAACTTTGCGGGGGATGGCATAGATCTGGAGCACCAAGCTGACCCCTCGCTTCAGGGAGGGAGCAAGCCCTGAGCTCATAGCCTGCCTGCAAGATGGTCGCAGACCACTAGTGGTCCATGGACCACACTTTGAGAACCACTGCTGTAAGCTCTGCTTTCTATCTCCTTAATCACTCTGGTGGACTTCTCTGAAACTGAGAACTGACATCTGATACCTTGAATGTTAATGCTTGATCACTGAGAACTGACTTTTGATATCCAACAATTAACAGCTAAGAACTGCGGGTATGTCTACACTAGCTCGTTAGCTCGAGCTAGATAGGCAAATGAGGGCAACCGGGGTTGCAAATGAAGCCCAGGATTTAAATATCCAGGGCTTCATTTGCATGTTCCCGGGCGCTGCCATTTTTAAATCTCCCTTAGTCCGAACTCCGTGCCCACGGCACTGAGTAGGTAGTTCAAATTAGGATCGCTAATTCGAACTACTGGTACACCTCGTTCCATGAGGAGTAACGGTAGTTCAAATTACAAATCCTAATTCGAACTACCTAGTCCGTGCTGTATGTAGCCGCGGGCACGGAGTTCGGACTAAGGGGGATTTAAAAATGGCGGCACCCAGCAAGATGCAAATGAAGCCCGAGATATTTAAATCCCAGGCTTCATTTGCAACCCCGGTTGCCCTCATTTGCCTAACTAGCTTGAACTAATGAGCTAGTGTAGACATACCCTGATGGATGATACGTGAAGATGGACTTTGCATATTTGAGAACACTGTTGACAAAGAAATGACAAACGATCATGGAGCCTGGATTTGTAATTCTTAACGACTGATAACTGAGAATCAACCAGCCGATCGTTAAGAATTGACTTTTGGTGAATGTGAATGGATGTACAAGTGGTGACGGGTGATCATTGCTGAGGTGGGACAATTCAGCAGGGAGAATGACCAACAGCCTTTGCTGATGGCAGGCATAGAGAGAAATTAGCAGAAAATCCCTAGTTCTATACCGAGAGCAATGAGAAGGAAGCTGCAAAAAGAGGCAGCCTCCGTGAATGTGAGTTTGGGTGCTGCTGAGAAGAAGACAATGACAGGAAGAGGTAGCCAGAGAAAAGGTACCCAAGATGGAAGGAGAGATTCTGGACACGAACTTCCATACATTTCCTCTAAATTCCCAAGAAGCTTGGAAGAGCTCAGCCTATGGAGCTAAGTCCTGCTTAGCACTTACCAGGAGAATGCAGCGCCTTCTTCAGGACTGTCGTGGAGTTATGGGTCACTGTGCACACATAGGTTTTTGTTGTGCTCCATTCTCCCGCTCTGATCACAAGCTCACAGCGCTGCTGAAATCTCCCATCGCCCAGGGCCGTCGGAGAGGAGGGAGAGCTACAGTTACGTTGCTGCTCGTTGACCATCCATTGCATGTCTAGGTGTTTTGGGTAGAAGCCGGTGGCAAAGCAGGTCAGAGTCTCATGCCCACCTGTGTCTGGTGCGTGGAAGACTGTGACTGAGGGGGGAGATGACTCCAGGAAATCTGAAACAAAGGGTTGGCTTTTTGTTGTAATTTAATTCAGGCCGAAGGATGGGGGGTTGGAGAAAGTAGGAAGCTGAAGAGAAGGTGAGCTTGAAATACACCTGGAAATGGATGTTGGATGTACCTTGAGGTGCAGGTAGGAATGCTCCTGAGGAAATCTCTAACCACCAAGCTCTTCAGATGCAAACCCTGGAAGTGTAGACCTAGGGCGTCCCTAGGTCTCAGGGGGTTTGTCGCAGAATCATAGAATCACAGAACACTAGAACTGGAAGGCATCTCAAGAGGTCATCGAATCCAGTCCCCTGACCTCATGGCAGGACCCAATACTGTCTAGATCATCCCTGATAGATAGTCCTGTCTATCTAACCTGCTCTTAAATATCTCCAGAGATGGAGATTCCACAACCTCCCTCTGATTATGATTATGATCATGAGGTGGTGAGTCTTCGGACGGTGTTTCTTAAACTTTTTAAGACTGAGGAACACCAAACCAAAAAATAAAAAATAAAAAGGTCAGGGGAAAAAGGGTCAGGGGGAGTTATTGAAAAAAAAAGGTTGCCTGTCCCTTTAAGGATGGCCATTTTGAATTCTGTTGTTCTCCATGGCATACCTCTGACTGCCTCGTGGCACACCACTGTGCCACAGAACACCATTTAAGAAACACTGGTCTTAGGCAGTGACACCAAGGCTTCACCATGACATCCGGTTGCATCCGGTCATGTTGTGATGCCAAAACTGAGTCTTGAGACAGCCACATGTCACACAAACCATGGGTGGTGGTGGCCTGTCCCATGCTCTGCCACAGTGCACATGATGCAATGCAACTAGGGCCTGTCCAAGGGGTGACGCACACACTACATCCTGGATCAACCACATAGTACTGAGCTGGCAAGCAAAATGGTACCGAAATCAATCGTGACGCCATTTTTTTCCCGTCACATTGTGCCACAGAGCAGTGAAACTGCTGAATCATGGGGCATTCATGCAGGGCTGAGATGAGGTGTCTTTATTTTTTTTCATAGCCAGATCGCAACATTGCACAACAAGGAAATATGGACAATCACAGACAAGACAGGACTCGTTTACGGTACAGCAAACGAATAAGAAACAACCAGTAATCCTAGAAGGCATCTCACAGCAAAACATCACACAGTAAAGAAAAAGCCACATGTCGCTGCAACACACTATACAATAAAACTCTAGGAAGCATCACCGTGTTGTGACGAGACATCCTCCTATGATGACAAGCCCTCACAACTCATGTCGGTGCATCACCACATCATGAAAATATACCAAAGGCCACAGTGTGACAATGTAAGCTCTAGTTGTGACATCCCGCCAGCACGTCATGACCATGTATGTCCAGGTCACGAAAACGTCCTGATATTGCATCACTTTCCCATTCAACATATCTTATTCCATTCCAATGGGCAATGCCACAAAGCCAACATGTCACAACAAAAGCTACGTCACACTCCGCAAGGCAGAGGTGGGAAGCTAGACCTCACTAGACCATGATGAAAGGTCTCTAGTTCACAAGAATGGATTCCTTGCCTCCCACTGATGTATCATCATACTGAGATGAAAGGCCATTTCTGAATCATTTCTTCTCATTTTCCCCTCTCCAGGCTACCCAGTCCTCGTTTTCAGAATTCCCAGGAAAAGGGTTCTCCATTACTGTCGGGAAAATGTTTCCACATATAAACATGAAAATGGCCAGATTGGGTCAGATCAAAGGTCCATCCAGCCCAGTGTCCTGTTAGCCGACAGTGGCCAATACCAGATGCACCAGAGGGAGTGAATAGAACAAGGAATAATCATGTGATCGCTTACCTGTCACCCTTTTCCAGACTCTGAAAGAGACTAGGGACACCATTCCTACCCATCCTGGTTAGTATTGATGGGTTAGTTCGAACTAGGGTGGTGAATGTAGGCAACCGAAGTTGCAAATGAAGCCCGGGATTTGAATTTCCCGGGCTTCATTTGCATCTTGCCGGGCGCCGCCATTTTTAAATCCCCGCTAGTTCGGACTCTGTGCCCGCGGCTACACACGGCACGGAGTAGGTAGTTTGGATTAGGCTTCCTATTCCGAACTACCGTTACTCCTCATGGAACGAGGGCTTCATTTGCAACTTTGGTTGCCTACATTAACCGCCCTAGTTCGAACTAGGGTGGTAGTGTAGACATACCCTTAAAGTCTTGGTCTTCACAACATCCTTTGGCAAGGAGTTCCTCAGGTTGACTGCACCACCTGTAGGCTCCACCAACTTACAGAGACTCCTGCCCCCTCCCCACTCTAAGAAATTCTGTCTGGTACCTAGACTCACCTAACACAGTGATGCTGGTGGAGTTCATAGATATCAAGGACTCATGCCCTACCATGCAGGTAAACACAGTCCCACTGTCCCATTCAGACACTGGGATTCTCAGGTAGCTTTGGGTAGAGAAGGTGGAATTCTTCTCTTCAGCCACTGGGGGCAGAGTAATGTATCTGGTGGGCCTGATGGCGTGATTGTCTCTTTTCCATTCGATGAGCAATTCAGATGGGAAGAAACCAGAGACCTTACAGGTCAGCCACACCTCTGTTTTGGGGCTGGGTAGCATCGGCATGAGAAGGATCAGGGATACAGTTGGAGCCTTGGCACCTGTCAAGAGAGGATGTGCAAGGTGAGTCAATGAAGACTGGCGTCCGGCCCTGAAGTCAATGGGGTTGGTGATTTGGACATGGAGCTGCTCCCCTCTACACAGGAGACTGGCTGGCTTAAAAGGAAATGGAACGTGGGGTCGTTCCCCTCTTGGGGGTGCTGTCTCTGATCCAGCCCCATGTCAGGGACATTATGCAGCTCATTTGTGGGCTCTGTAGGAAGGGGTGTTGGGCTACTGGACTTGGGGTATTGGACTTGCTGTCCTTTCTTCTTGGCTGTCACCTATGTAGTATTCCTCTGCTTTAGCTATTTGTCCCCATAAACATTCATTGATTCGTTCATTTGATCATGCCTTCGGTTTTTTGTTCATCTGTCCATCCTTCCTTCCATCTGTCCAATTTCCCATGAATCCCCATCCATCCATCCATCCATCCATCCATCCATCCATCCATCCATCCATCCATCCATCCATCCATCCATCCATCCATCCATCCATCCATCCATCCATCCATCCATCCATCCATCCATCCATCCATCCATCCATCCATCCATCCATCCATCCATCCATCCATCCATCCATCCATCCATCCATCCATCCATCCATCCATCCATCCATCCATCCATCCATCCATCCATCCATCCATCCATCCATCCATCCATCCATCCATCCATCCATCCATCCATCCAATTCCTCGTGAATCCCCTATTCCGCCATCCATCCCACCATCCATCCATCCAATTTCCCATGAATTCCCCATCCATCCATCCATCCAATTCCCCATGAATCCCTTATCCATCCTTCCACCCATCCATCCATCCATAATCCAGCCATCCATCCTTTAACTGCAGCTCTCTCTTTCTCTGCCTTATAGTACCTGACCCTTTCCAGGGAGGGGGATTTGTCCCCATCTCTACATCCTCTAAAGCATTAGGGCAAAGTCACTGATGATAGTTGTTGTTCCTTCTATTTCCCTCACCTCTGGGCTTCTGGATCGTTGCCTCCACACCCCGGAACAGTGAGCAGGTATGAGTCACTCTACAGAGGATGCTGCTCCCGGCATCCCAGACTCCCCTGGGGACAGCCAGGTGGCTCAGGAGACTCTGAGTCTGGTTGCTATGGTTTTCGGCTTTTCCTGTGGTGGCGTTGGTGGTCCAGTTGGCCCCGTCCAGCTCCCAGGTGACTCTCGCTTGGCCCAGCTCATAGCCCACTGCCAGGCAAGTCAAGAGGGCTTCCCCTCGGGTGAGCAAGGCCTCCAGGGATGGCTTCAGGAGGTAGAGGCTTGGCACAGGGATGCCCCCCTGACAGGCTGGATGGAGAAGAAGGGTAGACCAGTCCTTCATATGGTGTGAGGTGGGGAGAGGCTACAGGGAGGGAAGGGATGGGGAAGATGTAGAGGGGCCTGCTCGGAGAAGGGGGAAGGGTGCAGAGCAGAAACAGCAAAGGTTTTGGGGGAGCAGGGATGACTCAGACAGGGCAGAGTGTACAGAGGGGGAAGGCACGTGTGGATCCAGGCATAGAGCAGGGGGGGCTGCAGAAGGTGTGGGGAGCAAGCAGAGGATAGAGGGAATGGTGGAGAGAAGAAAGGGGAGGATTCTGGGGACTGTAGAGGAGCCAATTCACCTTCACACTTGCTGATAGTGCTAAGTTGTGTGCTGCCGGTTCCTGGGTGGGTCACGTTGCAGCTGTACACCCCCAGCTGGTCCCATTCCGTCTGGGAGAGGGTCAGGTTGCTGGAGGTACTGAATCTCCCATCGTTCCCTTGGAGGAGACCAGCCTGGGTGCCAGGTCTCTCCTTCCCACCTGCCTGCCAGGTCAGCTGCAGGTCCTGGGGGTAGTAGCCACTGGTGGAACAGAGCAAGGTGACAGTGTCATTGGCTCCTGGGCTTGGGCAGGCAGGCAGCACATGGAGTTTCACGGCGGGAACAGTGGGGAGCATCCAGTCTGCTGGGAGAAAGGGAATCACAGTTGAATGCCAAGGGAACCCCTCCAGAATCATCCATTTGTCTAGGTAGCTAAGCCCATGCAGCTCATCCAACCCTCCCTCCCCAGACACATGCCCTTGCATCCATCCGTCCATCTGTCCATCCATCCATCTCTCCCCAGACATGCATCCATCCATCCATCCATCCATCTGTGTATCCATGCATGCATCCATCCATGCAACCATCCATCCATCCATCTGTCCATCCATCCATCCCTCCGCAGACATGCATCCATCCATCTCTCCCCAACACATCTATCTATCCATGCATCCATCCATCTGTCCACTGACTCCCTGCATCTCCTTTTAACTCCAAAAGAGATGAGGATTTCTATGATGGAGCCAATCCATTGACCTGCCTTGCTGCTGTACATTGGGCGATGTAGCCTCGCTTTCCCATACCTCATGCATTCCTCGCTCTCTCTGATGCTCTGTAGCAGCCAACTGGCATATCTAGGCCCACAGACCGTCCCCAGAGAAATAACTCTTGTGGCTATAGTGGAACATTCTATAGTGCACCTTTTCTGGACGTCTTCATGGTCACCTTCTCCCTTGTCTGTTTATGTTCCACCTCACAAGCATAATTTGCCTCTTCTTTCCATTTGTCAAAAGGCACTTCAATATGGTAGCTGGCTCTATATGTACCGTTCTCCACCTTTCGCTCGCTCACAGTGTGAGGCTTCCCTTGCCACTTAATTGTCACTCCTTTGGGCCAGTAGTTGTAGGCAATGCATGTCAATGTCACCGTTTTCTTCTCTTGGTCTATGGACTGCAGGAGTTCCACCAGGAGCTTTTTGGGAGTGGTCGGGGCTGCAAAGAAACCCAGAGGTTAATCTGATAGCAGCCCATCTGAGCGAAAGGGGATGGTGAGTAGGTATGTGCAGACGGGTTAGGAAAGGGATGACTTACCTGGATGCAGCGATAGCAATCCCTCAGCAGGATTAGCGAAAGAAAAAGAAGGGGTAGTCTTCATGAAGCAACATGGAGGAGCATCAAGGAAGGTGGGCAAGAAAGAACTGCATGGAGGATTCTACTGTGGTAGGGTCACCGACACATCCAACATGTCCAATGGGTGTGTGGACATGCTGAGTGGAATGGAAGCATCTCCATTCAGTTGGGTGGGGTCGCTGGGAGTCGTTGCCTTTCAATTACAGCCTACGGGCTGTTGTCCTCTACCGAACACTATGTGAAGGATAAGCCTGGCGTTGCTCATGAGATTAATCTTGTACAGGAGATGCTTTTGGCGTCTTCCTACCGTGGCTTGTATGTACTCTCCTTGGCTGGAGAGCACTCATCAGCATCTGAACCTTATGTGAACTCTGTCCCCACCCCCAGCTCAACATTTCCTTGGGAGACGATTTTTATTTGGCACCCTTTGAATGACTGTGGATACATGAAGGCAGCCCAGTGTGCCAACAACAAGGGGAAGAATAAGAAGGGACCATAAAGACAAAATTAGGAACCTGCCACTGTCAGTCTCCATGTCAGACTGTGAAGCAAACAACTCCCAGGGGGTATGTCTACACTACAGAGCTAATTTGAACTAACTTAGTTCGAATTAGTTAATTCGAACTAAGCTAATTCGAACTAGCACATCTAGACTTAAAAACTAGTTTGAATTAGCGTTTTGCTAATTCGAACTAGTGCATCCACACTGATTGGACACAGGGGCGCATTTAAGGGCAGCTGAAACCGGTTCTAGGGCATCAGGTCAGTAGTTGCTTTGTGTGGCTGCTGTCTGAGGCTATCTGAGGCTCGTGCTGAAAGGGCCCCCCCTGGACAGCCGGTTCTCAGCTTTTTCTGCTTGCTTGCCTACCTCACCGAGGGACAGCAAAGCGTTTCTCTCTGTGTCCGTCTGTGTCAGTGCTTCCCTTCGGGGACGCCGCCGCAGGTGGCAACATGGAGCCAGAGCTCCCCCTGCACTTTCTGCTGCAGTTTCTGGACTTGCTGCTGCAAGCCTGCCAGCTATGGGTGGAGGCTGCCATGCAGCACCTGGTGCACATCAGCTCCCTGCCTCTCCGCCTGGCCACCCTGGGGGCCATAGTGCAGATGCGGTGGCGCCCGGGCACCGGCGTGCTCCGCCGCATCTGGCATCTGGACACCAGCAGCGACTGGTGGGACCGCATCGTCCTGGAGCGCTGGGGAGACCAACAGTGGACCCAGAACTTCAGAATGAAGAGGGACACCTTCCTGGAGCTCTGCGAGTGGCTTGCCCCTGCTCTGCGCAGAAGAGACACTCGCATGAGGCCTGCCATTCCCCTCCAGAAGCGTGTGGCATGAGGCCTGCCATCCCCCTCCAGAAGCGTGTGGCCATCGCCCTCTGGAAGCTCTCCACGCCGGACAGCTACCGATCCATCGGGAACCAGTTCGGCATGGGGAGATCCACCGTCAGAGCAGTGCTCATGCAGGTACGGCACTCACCGGCCACTGGGCCAGGGGTGAGGGGGGGCTGCAAGGAGGGGATGGGCCGCCCAGGGAAAACGGGGGTTGGCGGGGGAAGGAGGCAAAAGTGCCCCACACTGGAGGGGCCTGTCTCTCCCAGTAACCGGACCTAGAACTGTACCTGGGGGCACTCTGCTAGAAACCTTCCGTCATCCTGACATTGAGCCGTTGATCACTACCCGCTGGGTAAGCTCTGGCTCCATGTTGCCACCTGCGGCGGCGTCCCTGAAGGGAAGCACCGACACAGACAGGCACAGAGAAAAACACTTTGCTGTCCCTCGGCGAGGTAGGCAAGCAAGCAGAAAAGCTGAGATCCGGCTGTCCAGGGGGGTCCCTTTAAGCACAAGCCTCAGATAGCCTCAGTCAGCAGCCACACAAAGTTCCCTTAAGTGCTCCCCAGCGTCCAATCGGTGTAGACGAGCTAGTTCAAATTAGCAAAATGCTAATTCGAACTAGTTTTTAAGTCTAGATGCACTAATTCGAATTAGCTTAGTTCTAATTAACTAATTCGAACTAAGTTAGTTCGAATTAGCGCTGTAGTGTAGCTACACTGGCTCATGAAGCCCTACACGGGGCACCTCAACCCCTCCCACCAGGCCTTCAATGCGAGGCTCACCAGGGCCCGCATTGTGATTGAGGGGGCCTTCGGACGATTGAAAGCCCAATTTTGATGCCTCCTCACCCGTCTCGACCTCGCTAAGCACAACATCCCTCTCGTGGTGGCAGCATGTTGTGTGCTGCACAATTTGTGTGAGAGGAAGGGGGAGGCTTTCCTGCCAGCCTGGATGGCTGAGACTGACTGCATGGCTGGCCAGTACACTCAGCCCTGCACCACCGCTGTCCATGAAGCCCCGCTGGGGGTCATCCGGATCCGGGAAACCCTGCCGGAGAGCTTCCAGGTGGAGGAGGACTGAACTCTCCTTGCATACCCCACTGGGGCCTTCTTCCACCCTCCCCCTTTCCCCTCCCTAACGTCAAATAAAGACACCTGTTTTGCCAACAAAAATCTCTTTATTTTAAATAACTGGGGTGGGGGGGGAGGGAGGAGTGAGGTGGGAGACGGGAGGGGGAAACCTGGGAGGAGGGAGCTGGAAGGGAAGGGAAAGCTCAGGCTTGGGGGTCCGGCTGGCTCTCCCGTCTTGCAACACTGCAGGTGCGGGGGCCTCAGGAGGAGTGGGTGTGGGGG